CGGCTCCTATAGCGGATCAGCAAGGAACGTGGGATGGAAAGCGCGTAAATATGCAAGGATTTGACAGTGAAACTGATCACGGACTACCACAGCCCCACTCTGTGGCTTCCCGAAGCTTCAATCTCCCTATCGGCCACACATCGGTAACCGTTTAAACAGCAACCGGTGTTATTTCTGCCTTCTTTTCCATCCCTCTTTTTTCCACTTCTCTGCTTGCAAAAGCCACACAGAGAAAGCGAAATGCAGTGCTATGGACAGTCCAGGCTAATTTGCATCGCTCCAACACAAAATAAACCGTGCCACATAGTGATGGTCGGTAGTTTTCTGCGATATCTTAACTGTTATGTTTACGAACAACACTGCTTAGGACAGAGTTAGCGAAGGTACCCAAAAGAAATGCCGGGATCGCGTCATAACACGCTGACCATGGCTTTCAGATGTCAAATTCACGATTGGAATAAACAAACAACCAACAAGCTTCGTCTCGATCCGTCCTTGTTCCTCCTTCACGGATTTCTTCAGCGAGTCAATTCAGAAAGAAATTATCGAAAAAAGCAAGGGAGAATGGGATGGCCAGTTCTGGCTTATTAGCCGTCATCAGCCAGTCGTAGTCAACTGTAAGACACAATGGGGCAAATACTTTGCGTACACGATCCGTGCGCGCCTACCTCCGCTTGAATCCACACACACTAGCAGCGTGGAATGTTCGTTCTCATTTAGTCAATCCAATGACCAACCGGCGTGAACAGAGAACGACCCTAGTCGCTTCAGAAGTGGCGCGGTACAAGATGGCCATAACAGTTCTCAACTAGGCCCGATAATGTTAAAAAAGATCAGATGTGTGTCACCCACACCTTAAACTGGTGCAGAACAACATGACGCTGACGACTTCCTTTGCAGTCATCGCGTGGAACGATTGCCCTGCCGGCCACGGGATATGAACGACAGATGGATGACCATGGCCAGCCTCTTCAGGACCTACGCCTCATCAATTACTAAATCTGTCGAAGAGGCAAAAAAGTGTATCCTACGAGA